TTGCCAAAATGCTGCGCCTGCCACGAAATTTGAACCTTGCGAAAGTGCGCGCGTCCGTGCCAATGGTCCCGGCGCGAGCCCGTCCCGAGCCCGTCCTGAGCCCGTCCCGAGCCCCGTCTCCGTCAGACGCCGCGACCGGGGTAGCTTTCAGCCAGCCGGAGAAGCCAAAACCCGCAGAGGGTTGCACTTTTTGCAGATTTCTATTCCCCCGCCACACGTATACGCACGTTTTCTCGCATGCATTCATTCTTTCTTCATCTCATCTTTGCGCAGAGCTACCTTTCAATTAGTTTCCGTAACTCGGAAGTGTCCTTCTAAACTTCCTTTGATAATTATATATATATACTTAAAACAAGTAGTATTCGTGAATGGGCTCTGCGACAGGAGTTGCACTACTGCTGGACACTTGCCACCGTATGAGTCACCCAATAGTGCCTTGAATCACTTGAATGCAGCCGCATCGCGAATTAGTGCAGTCGCTATTGAGCATAGCTTTGCAGTTGCTGCTTGGCAACGATTTTCAGCTGCTCTTTGGCTGCAGCAAAAACTTGCAACTGTTGCTCAACAAATCGTTTGCACTGGCGTACATCTTGCTTTTTCTGGGTGCCCATGTTGCCGAAAATCCCTGACAATTAGCGGCTTGCTTTGCTTAGTCCCTACCATCTATACATGGTTGTATGTGTGTATCGTAAATGTATTCATACGTGAAATATATATATATATATATGTGTGGTGAAATATATATATATATGTGTACTGTTCATCTGTATATAACACGCACACAGAAAAAACAATGCCCTCGTCCAAGCGTCGACCTTCATGGCCTCGGTGTCCGAGCCGTCGCTGCCGGGCTGGGATCCCCTGGTGCTCACTTCAGAGAGCAGCTCCTAGGCCCGACTTCGAGACAACTCTGATCCCACCCTCTGGCCACCCTCCTTACAGCCTGGTTCTATATCAGGTTTTTTGACAATTGATGCCCAGCGGGCCATGAGGCCAGCCTATGGAGATCATGGAGTCAATCTCGTCATAGACCCCTGCTTGATTCTCAACGGAGAATGTCCCAGTTTGGCGGTGGTCCTTTGAGGGGACCACCTAAAAAACAAAGTCAGGTGGAACCAAACCGGAGTGAAGTTCGTCCAAACGCGCAATTCAGGGAGCGATAGCGCCGTCCAAGATTCGAGGAAGGCCTCCATGTCCGCCTCCCGCTGCGCGTTTTTGAGCCCCAACTTCTGGGCGAAGCGAGCCACCCGGCCCGCTAGCGTCTCGTCCCCATGGCAGATCCTCGTCGAAAACATGCGCTCTCGACACCAATTGAATGAGTTAACCATTCCCATGATTGCTTTATAGACACTGCTGGGGATTGCTTTAATCTTGAAGGGGTTCTCAAGACTTCCTTGGCCACTCACAGAAAGTGGCCCCGAAACCGATTTCCCGCGATATGTCCTCAGCAGCTGCTGGTCTCCTCTTCGCTTCGCCCGCATCTCCCGAATCTCGTCCTCGTCTAGAAGCTCCAGCACCGCGCTGGGGTTCTTCTCGCAGAACCGCACGGCGGACTGGTAGGTAGTGTCCCGCTCCTGTGGCTGATTGCTCCGTATAGCACTTGGTTTCGGTACGTACAATATACATCTATATATATATATATATGTACAATATACATATATATATATATATATATATATCTCCGCCGACCCCTTGTCTGCAAGGGCGAGGCGCATGGGAAGGGTGTCATCATCATCAACATCGTCGTCATCCTCCTCATCATCGTTATCGTCATCGTTATCGTCATCATCATAATAATCATCACGCTCGGCTCCATTGGCGATTCAAGGGACGCTACGATGATAGTGGTCAAGGCACCGCTGGATGTCGCGATGATAGTTGCGATGACGCGGATGATCGCCATCATCTTCCTCATTCATCATCACCGTTGTCATCATCATCATCGTCATCATCATCCACTGTTGGAGATGCAGGGGATGCTACATGATGCTTGTCATCATCATCATCGTCTTCGTTGGAGATGCAGCGGATGCTAGGATAATACTTTTATCATCTTCCTCATAGTCATCATCATCATCATCACCGCTATCATCATCCTCCTCCAGAAGATGCGTGTTCATGATTATCATCATAACTGCTGGTGATGCTAAGGATGCATAGTGATAAGTATCATCACCCGATTTTCATGATCATCATGATTGCTGGTGATGCTGAGGATGCATAGTCATGGTTATCATGCGATTTGAGATTCCTCGTCATCATCACTTGCTTTTGTTATCGTTGGAGATGCAGCGGATGCTACGATGATACTTTTCATCATCTTCCTCATCATCATCATCCTTTCTTTACTTCTTACAAAGATATCAAAAGGGACGTTAGACACCACGTGCAATGCAACGGATACTACGATGATAGTTATCCAGGCACTGCTAGACAGTCACTATCATCTTCCTCATAGCCATCCTCGTCATCATCACCGTTGTCATCATCATCATCGTCATCATCATCCACTGTTGGAGATGCAGGAGATGCTGCGATAATACTTGTCATCGTCCTTGTTGGAGATGCAACGGATGCTACGATGATACTTTTCATCATCTTCCTCATGGTCATCATCATCATCATCATCGTCATCATCATCACCACCGCTGTCATCATTGCCATCGGCATCCTCCACATCATCTACATACATACATACATACATACATACATACATACATACATACATACATACATACATACATACATACATACATACATACATACATACATACATACATACATACATACATACATACATACATACATACATACATACATACATACATACATACATACATACATACATACATACATACATACATACATACATACCATTACATACCATTACATTACATTGCATTACATTACATTACATACATTACATACATACATACATTACATACATACATACATACATGCATATATGAGGTACATTACATGCATACACACACACACATACATACATACACACAACAATACGTACATACATACATACATACATACATACATACGTACATTACATACCTACATACATACAGACATACATACATACATGCATTTACATACATACATACACACATACATGCATTTACATACATACATGCATTTACATACATGCATTTACATACATGCATTTACATTCATACATACATACATACATACGTACATACATACATACATACATTACATACATGCATACATACATACATACATACATACACTACATACATACATACATACATACATACATGCATACATTACATACATACATAAATACATTACATTACATTACATTACACTACATTACACTACATTACATTACATTACATTACATTACATTACATACATACATACATACATACCATTACATACATACATCCATTACATACATACATACATACATACATACATACATACATACATAAATGACATTACATACATACATACATACATACATACATGCACACATACATACATACATACATACATACATACATACATACATACATACATACATACATACATACATACATACATACATACATTACATACATTACATACATATACATACATGCATACATTAGATTACATTCCATTACATTGCGGTACATTACATTACATACCTACATACATAACACACATACACACACACACACACATACATACATACATACATACATACATACATACATACATACATACATACATACATACATACACTACATACATACATACATACATACATACATACATACATACATACATTCATACATACATACATACATACTTTACATACATACATACATACATACATACATACATACATACATACATACATACATACATACATACATACATACATACATACATACATACATACATACATACATACATACATACATACATACATACATACATACATACAATACATACAATACATACAATACATACAATACATACAATACATACATACATACATACATACATACATACATACATACATACATACATACATACATACATACATACATACATACATACATTACATGCATACATTACATACATACATACATACATACATACATACATACATACATACATACATACATACATACATACATACATAAAGACATACATACATACATACATACATACATACATACATACATACATACATACATACATACATTAATACATACATACATTCATACATACATACATACATACATACATACATACATACATACATACATACATACATACATACATACATACATACATACATACATACATACATACATACAAATAAAACATACATACAAACATTAGATTACATTAATTACATTGCGGTACAATTACATACATACATACATACATACATACATACATACATACATACATACCATACATTACATACATACATACATACATACATACATACATACATACATACATACATACATACATACATACATACATACATACATACATACATACATACATACATACATACATACATACATACATACATACATACATACATACATACATACATACCTAAATACATACATACATACATACATACATACATACATACATACATACATACATACATACATACATACATACATACATACATTACATACATAAATACATACATAACATACATACATACATACATACATACATACATACATACATACATACATACATACATACATACATACATACATACATACATACATACATTACATACATACATACATACATACATTACATTACATTACATTACATTTACATTACATTACATTACATTACATTACATTACATTACATTACATTACATTACATTACATTACATTACATTACATACATAAATTGCATTACACTACATTACATTACATACATACATTACATTACATTACATTACCTTACATTACATTACATACATACATACATTGCATTACATTACATTGCATTACATACATACATTACATTACACTACATTACCTTACATTACCTTACATTACCTTACATACATACATACATACATACATACATACATACATTACATACATACAAGACCCCGGGGTCTGCGGATTCTCGGGCTGCTGTTGGTAGTGGCTTGTGAGGTCCCCCCGAACACAAAAACCAAGAAGCCAGCAGTGGCCTGAGTATCCGCAGAGTTCGGGGTCTACCTCGCACACCGACATACAGACGGTCCCCCAAAAACACAAAAGCGAGTATCCGCAGACTCCAAGGGCTACCTCACAATCCAACATGCAAGACAGTCCTCCCGAACACAAAAACAAAGAAGCCAGCAGTGGCCCGAGTATCCGCAGAGTTCGGGGTCTACCTCACACAAATAACGACATACAACAACAATAAAATTTACAAACCAACAACAACAAAACCAACAAGAACAAAGCAAAAAACCAAAAAAAAAAGTACAAAAACAGAAAAGAACAACTTTACAACCAAAACAAACGCACATAAAAAATAAATAAAAAACAAAAAAAAAAAAAAGAACGTCCCCCAAAAAACACAAAAGAAACACTACCAAGGGCAGCCCGAGTATCCGCAGACCCCGGGATCTACCCCAAACACCAACATGCAGGAACGTCGAAAAAAAGAGAAAAACAAGATACCAGTATACAGGCAAGTCCCCCAACAAAAAAAAAGAACCAATACCAAAAGGCAGCCCGAATGTCCGCAGACACCGCAGTCTGCCTCAGAGGCCGACATACCGGAAAGTCCAAAAAAAGGCAAAGGAACGCTGCCCAAAAAGGAAACAAGAGCCTACCAAAGCCGGCCAAAGCATCCACAGACCCCGGGGTCTACCTCAAAGGCCAACATACAGGACAGTAACCCCGCTGGGGCGGCGGCACTGGGCGGCAGCCCTTAAATATATCTGCATATATATATATATGATGCATGGTACAAGGTAGGCTAGAGACAACTTCAACGGAATTCCAATAGCAATTTCAATACAATTTCCTGAATCCTGAGTGGCCAAGGACAAAGGGGCCTGACTTTTTGCAGGATCTTACGGATTGCCTTTGAACGGCCCGTGCCTGTTGGGACATCTGCGGGCCCAGGTCACTGAGCACAGATTGCAACTGGAGCAAAAGCGTGGTCACCGTGTAGGCCGGGCTCCAGCCACTGCCCACCTGCGCCTTCCACTCCGTGTGCACGTGGTCGAAGTTGCCGAGCACGTCCAGGCAGATCACCTTCTTGCCCTTCAGCCTTCCGTCTCGCTCCACATAGGAGGCGCCGCCCCGGTACTCGAACTCGAAGGAGAAGCCAATCTTGGGCGCGCTAGCTGGGTAGTCACATGGAAAGTCGATGAGGAAGTGCAGGGGGACGGTGACGCAGCCGATGTGGGTCACCTCCATCTGGGTACCCACGACACCGTTCCACAGAGACAAGTCATCTGAGGCAGGGGAGGCTGCTGCTAGGGGGATGGGCTCCTCTTGCAAGCGCTTCAGATCCGACTGGATGCGCTTGCGGGCGGCTTGGCTCAGCATCGTGCGGCGGGGCGGCAAATGGGTGGCTGGACTTGATCTTGTAGGTGGCTGTGAAGCAGACAGCTGTCAGCAAGCCTCACCTTCCTCTCCCTCCCAACGGTTGCCCCGCAATCTGAGAGCTTGGCGAGAAGGACGTTTAGGAACCAAACAGCACTTGGAAAGGAGAATCCCCAGCATGCCCAAACCCCGAGGTTTGACCAACCAGACTCTTCACCCCAACCTCCTAACTCAACCCCCAACCTCCACCGAGGGCCGTGCTTCAAGGCCACCTCCGGCTCCTTGGTGCCGGAGCCATCCGCCGACGTTTGCCCTGCCAGTCAGTCGGGCGCTCGACTCTCGACCCCCAGATGAGTCTGAGACCAAAAGGAAATATGCCGTTTTCGGGGTCTTCTTTTCTGAGCGGCTCCCCTTTTCTGTTTTCCTCACAGCCGAAAATTTGTGGCGGCGCAGGGGATCTATAACCTCGGCCGGGCCCCGGCCTTTGCCAGAGCCCAGTGCTGCCAGCTGCGTGCCGTTCAGCCAGGCCTGTCGTGGCATCAACATTTGGCTTCAGGATCAACCGTCCCCGTAAGGGTTCCCGTCAATCAACCTCCTCCCAACCAGCAAATGCAAAGAGGACCCTGGGTACATCAACCCTTGGCTGTTTGCCAATTCGTTTGGTTGGTTCAAGTTGGTCTGTCTGAGTTCAGTGGGGGCGTTAGCACTCCAGGATCCATTAAGTGAACCTCGCCATGCAGCGAGACTGTGATTGGCCACTCAAGTGTTCAGACAGCAACGCACCATGACTATGAGAAGAGATTCAACCTCGTTACTCTGTGCCACTGCAAGGCATGAAAACCCTGGGGCTTGCAACAGAGAACAAGCGATCCTCTTGCCTTCTCTCTTGAATGGACGCAGATCTTTGCATCTTGCCAACATGCTCTAGCACGGAAAATGGAGAAGTGGCAGAGCAAAAACTGCGTGTGACATGTCTGAACCCCACAACCGGGTAAGCCATCCCCCCCAACCCCCCCTCACAACTCAAATTGCGCCAGCTGCTCAGGAAGTTTGCAAACCTCATCGCCCGCGGCGCGTGCCAGGAGGGCATCGCGATGGACGCCTGCGGGTCAGCCGGCGGCTGGTGCTGACGCCTCCGTTGCTTGGAACCTTGGCCTTAAGATCTTGCAGCCGGCTCCTATCTCACAAACATCCAGGATATGAGTAAGGTCTGGACAAATATCATGTTTTGTAGCTCAAAATTACAGCTAGTCACGGTTATGGGAGTATACTGCTAGTAGTTCCTAATGTTCCAGCCTTTCAACAAAGAAAGCTCAACCAAAGTGTGAATGAAGACTACTGCCTCATATTCATGCCAATCGACGACTCCCGGCGGCGCGCGGCATCTTGTCTCCGCTCACTTTGGCATCGCAGCTTTTGCGAACGGGGGGCCACAGCTTCCTCAAAATACAAGCTACAAAGAGACATGTATCCAAAAGCAACCTCACTGAATTGTAGCTGTGGCTTTCTTCCCCCCACTTATTTCAGGCGAATCAGCCATGGCTCCAGACCGCGACCCCAAGGCCGAGCCAGCGCCGTGCAGCTTCGCCGAGTCCGCGCCCTGCACGCCCCGAGAACTCAGGTGCCATTTCGGGCTCGCACGGCTGGCGAAGCGGCCCAGGCAGAAGCCCAAACCGTTCCAAGCGAAACGCGCGGGGTGGGGCCGCCGTAAAGGCTCAGAAGAAGCCCGGCGGGTGCCGCTTCTCAGCTCCATGCCCTGGCGCAAAAGAATCGCAGGGCCTGCATCATGATGCGATATTAATCGCCCAAGACTCCATGTGGATTTGCGTCCCGTCCTGTGCGGAGCTGCAGTGCCAGGCCCATGCTGATGCCGCTCTGAACTCGGCTCCCCCCTCCCTCAGCTTGTCGCCTCCAGGCTGGCAGGCGGCTTCGCAAGCGGCCTCGGGTGGCTCGCGAGTGGGTGGACTCCATCTTCACGCAAAAGGATGGTTCTGGGGTCTTCCATCGGCTTGCTCGCGTACTCCCAACTCAAAAGCTTGGAACTCGGTTGACAAGCAATATTTACACTAGCCGGCAGATAGATGGCACAATTCGAAAATATATTTTTGGGGTAGATGGCACGGTAGCAAAACATATATCCGCCGTTCTGTTGGCACAAATCATCAATTGGTGGGAAAAACTGGTGGTGGGAAAAGCATAAAGGAACGGCGTCCAAACGCAGGCAATCCCCCTTCCACCGAGCTGCGAAGCAACACGCAGACCGCGGCGACCTGGGCTTAGCGCTTCCTCGCCACGAAGAAGGACATGACTCGGCCATCCTCAGCGGGAAGCTCCTGGCGAGGCGGTTACCTGCGACATTTTAGGTGCCCCGTGCTGGGCATCCAACTTCCACCTGCATCTACCGCCAGAAAACAGAAGACCCAGCTTTATCCTGGAGTTTTCAGTGCGTGTGTTCGGGAATGGTTTGGCTTTTTACGCGTTCGAGCTGGTTTGGCGCATCTCCCCATCAGCGTTCCTCCTCGAACCGTGCAACAATGGAAAAGAGACCGCTTCATGCTTTCGGAATAGATGGAGGCTAAAAACTCGAACCAAAGAGCGACCAAAGGCCACCTTGTATCAGGCCTGGGCCCTGTTTAAAACACGTTTGTAACCAGCTATCGTTTTCACAACCTGTTGGTCTTCCTAAGGTGGCCAAAGGCTGGTTGTTCAATCAACTTGTGCCCAACCCTGGTTGCCACCCCTTGAAACCCCCGAAGGATCAACCTCCGCGTATATTTCATAAAATCGACCGCGTCTTTTGAAAGGGGCTGATTTGGGCTGGGAGCCAATCCTTCCCTGCCCAGTCCTCGTCCCGCAAAATGTCCATGGAGCCAAAGACCTGCTGTAGCTCTCCGTGCTTCAGGAGGTGCTCCGGCTCTTTCGGGTGCGAGCAGCCTGCCCGGGCTGGGGCCCGGGGGTCATCTCAAAAGCGGCGCCCCAGAATACGAGCGCTCCAACCCTGTGAAACCAACCAGAAGGGCCTTCCCAGAAAAAGAAAAACATACTTGGGTTGCATAGGTGGAGCTGGAGATAAGAAAGGGGCTCTGCTCCCATGCGCAACCCTCCAACATAGAAGCCTGTTCGCTCAAACGCCTGGGCCTTTAAGTGCTACTTCTTGTGAGGAGGAGGAGGTTGCTGAATCGACACTTGGCCAACGCATTCTGGTGACCGCGTTGTGAGTGAACTCCGGATTGGCCATGATGAATAACAAAAAACGGATCGGAAAACCCAAGCTCAACGCACCAGGTAGGCAGATCCGAAGTATGATCTGCGCCGCTTCACGCAGAATTTGCCACCAATGTTCAACAAGTTTCTTCGAGACCTATGGCCCATTGGAAGCAAAAAGTGCCGATCCCAGCACCAGGCCTTCCATGAAGGTGTGGAAGAGCAGCAAGCCTGGCATGCACGTGTGCTTGCCTCTTGTTTGTTCACGTGTGGGTGTGGGTGTGTGTTCTCCACTCTTCGGTGTTCTAGGTCTTCGTTTTCTTGTGAAATGTGCTTGTGTTTGTGTTACTTATAATATGTGTGTGTATGGTGGAAGCCAGTGCAAGCTACCAACTTTGATGCCCAAGTCGGCCAAACACACCCGCACACATATGTGTATCTATGTGTACACATAAGGACGTCCCCAACCAACCAACCAACCAACAAACAAACAATCAAACAAACAAGCAAACCAGGCAGCCAATCAACCAACCCACCACCCACCAACCAACCAACCAACAAAACCCATGCAGACTCTTTTTCTCCGCTACAAGATCCGGCAGTTGGACTCCTCCTCCTCTGGGTGGTGCTCCACCGCGCCGGGCACATGGGCCGGGGACACCTCCCTGGAGCGCCTCTCCGGGTGCCCGAAGAGCGCCGCGACCGCAGCCTTGGGCCGCAGCTCCTCGCAAAGGCTCCCGAGTTGGATCAAGCCAAAAGCCAATTCGTTTGCCACAATCGTCTTCTCAAAACTTTTGGGCAACTCCAGGAACTCAGGGAGTGACGGTCGCACCCATCCATCGCTACGAAGAAATATACCGAGCCGTGCTCAAAGCCCTGCTCGTGGTTTTTGGTTTTACCTTGGCAACATCTAAGCGGAGTACGTAGCGGCTGTCGAGAATCAATATAGAGCAACATGCTATCTGCGCTGGGTGACACTACATGGTGCCACACAATGATGTGGTACGATGTGCTGGGACGCAGCACGCGGTGGTGTGGTTTGAGTTGATATGTCATGGCGGAACAGGGTCAGGACTTGCATGAGTTGCACTATGTCGCCAGAAGTCAGGCCTCCCGAGCGAGAAACTGTTCTCTGCCCCTGATCAGGACACCATCATCCGGCTCAACTACTACAAAGGCCTAAACAAGTCAAATGGAGACGCCGGATGCTTTAAAGCCAAACTATGTCATCACAACAAGGAAGTCTAACAAAAACTTCCGTAGTACTAGCTCTCCCTCTCTCTCTCTCTCTCTCTCGCTCTCTCTTGCTCTCTCTCTCTCTCTCTCTCTCTGTCTAAGCGAAGCATGCGCTACGCGCGATAAGGCTATGAAGAAAGAAAGAAATCCAAACAAATAGATATGAAAGTGCAAGAAATCGTGAACTGAGGAATAGCGAGAGGCAGACAACGTTGGCTTTACGCATGAATTCTACTCTGCTGCACTCACGCAAACGCCTGACAGAGGCGATCGGTGAACCCTCTGCGCCCTTTGGGCGGGTCGACCCTCAAAGCTCGCGGTGTTTAACGATGTTCACCCACCTGCAAGTTGTTCTTTGCGTTTTCAACCTGCGCAGCCATCAATGATGAATCCTCTGCGGACTTTCGGTGGGTCGACCGTAACAAACCGTGTTGTCGTCTGCGTTTGTCACTTCGCTGGCGGAACCTTCTGCGGACTTTCGGGGGGTCAAACTCGAACAAGTCTGTGGTTCTTGTGTTTGTCATTGTTGTAAGCTGCAGAGAAAGAGATATAGACAGAGAAGAAACAAACCAAAATAATAATAATAATCATAATAATCATAATAATAATAGTAATAGTAATAATAATATTAATAATAGTAATAATCATAATAATCATAATAATAATAATAATAGTAATAGTAATAATAATATTAATAATAATAATAGTAATAATAATAGTAATAATAATAATAATACTAATAATAATAATTATAATAATAATTGAATAATAATACTAATCAAGAAAGAAAAAGAAAAAGAAACTGAAAAAGGAAGAGGAACCGGAAGCGAAAGACAAAGAGACAGAGCAAGAGCATGAGGAAAGATATATATATATATATATATATTCATTTATTTATTTATTTTTTAAAAAAAAATAAAGAGAGAATGAAAAAGAACAGAAAAAGGGACAGAGAAAGAGAAAGAGGCAAAAGAGGCAAAGAGAGAGAGAGAGAGGGAGACAAAGAATGACAAAGACAAAGATAAAGAACAAAAGCAACACAGAACAGAAAAAGAGAAAGAGAACGGAGAAAGAGAAAGAGAAAGAAAAGAAGACAGAGAAAGAGAAACGAGAAGAGAGAAGAAAGAAAAGAGAAGCGAGAAGCGAGACAAGAGAAAAATAACGCAAATTATTGGCCTGTTCCATGTTGCCTCCATCGACCCCCTTGATCCCTTGACCCGGTCCGCGGCCACCAGGGCCACTAGCACCGCATCCACCGGGAAGTGCCGGGAGCTGTGTTGGCTCGCCAGGCGCCGCGTGCTCTTCACCGCCGCGGCCAGGTTCCTGGCTTGGAGGACAAGCAAAGCCACTGGCGGGGGATTTCGGTGCTTCAAAACTCGGTGTCTTTTGGGTCTCCCTTCAAACCAAAAAAGGATAGCCTCAAAAGAAAGACACCGCCCAAGACAGGTTTCCTAAGGTCCACGCCTTTGGTCAAGCAGACACTCGCGAAACTGAT